TCATGCCATCTGCAAACAGAGACATTTACTTCATCCTTTCCAATTTGCACTCCTTTTATTTCCTTTTCTTGGCTAATTGATTGGCTAGGACTTTCAAGAAAAGTTGAGAATTCCTTACCTGAAATGTTTGGAATCAGAAATGTTTCCAATTTTTTTGGAGTTTGGAATATTTGCAGAATACCTACCAGTTGAGTATCCTAAATCTGAAAATTCAAAATCTGAAATGCCTCAATGAGCATTTCTATAGAGCCTCATGTTGTTGCTCAAAAGCTTTCAAATTTTGGAGAATTTCAAATTTTGGAGTTTCATATTTAGAATGCCCAGCCAGTAATAGAAGTGGTGAGAGTGGCATCCTTGCCTTGTACTATATCTTCAAGAAAAAACTTCCAGTTTTTCCCCATTGTGATGTTAGCTGTGGGAATTTTGAAAATGACCTCTAGTGTGTTGGAGTATGTTCCTTCTGTGCTTACTGTTTTGAGAGTAAACTAAATGGATGTTGAACTTTGTCAGATGCCTTTTCTGCATCTATTTTTATTCTGCTACTGTGGTGTATAACATTATTAATTTGCGATATTAAACCACTCTGCATCCTAGAAATAAATCTCAGTCAATCATGGTGTGTAATTTTTTTAAAATAGATTTCAACTTTTGCTTTAAATATAGGGAACACATGTGCAGATTTGTTACATGGGAGTTTTTTTTTTTTTTTTTTTTTTTGATGCAGTTTTGCTCTTGTTACCCAGGCTGGAGTGCATTGGCGTGATCTCAGCTCACTGCAATCTCTGCCTCCTGGGTTCAGGCAGTTCTCCTGCTTCAGCCTCCTGAGTAGCTGGGATTACAGGCACGCACCACCGTGCCCAGTAATTTTTTGTATTTTTAGTAGAGATGGGGTTTCACCATGTTGACCAGAATGGTCTCGATCTCTTGACCTCATGATCCACCCACCTCGGCCTCCCAAAGTGCTGGGATTACAGGCTTGAGCCATCGCTCATGGCTTATGGGAGTATTGTTAATGCTGAGGTTTAAAGTATGGAACCTGTCACCTCACCTATGTAGTGAGCAGAGTACTCATTAGGTAGTTTTTTTGATGTGCTGTTGGATTTTCCTTGCTAGTATTTTATTGAGGGTTTTTGCATCTATGTTTTTTAGTGATATTGGTCTGTAGTTTTCTAGCAGTGTCTTTGTTTGATTTTGATATCATAGTGATGCTAGCCTCATAAAATGAATTTAGAAGTATTCCCTCTTATTTTATGGAAGAATTAAGAAAGATTGGTATTAATTTATCTTTGAATGTTTGATAGAATCCACTGTGAAGTCATCTGGTCCTGGGCTTCTCTTTGTTGAGAGGTTTTTGATTACTTCTGTAATCTTCTTCTTATTGGTCTGTTTAGGCTTTCTACATCTTCTTGATTCAATCTTGGTAGTTTGCATGTTTCTAGGTATTTATCCGTTTCTTCTCTGTTACCTAATTTGTTGTCATATAATGTTCATAATAGCCCCTTATGATCTTTTTTACTTCTGAGAAATCCATTTTATCTTTCCTCTTTAATTTATTTAAAGCTTCTCTTTTCTTCTTTTTAGTCTATGTAAGGGGTTGTTGACTTTATCTTTTCAAAAAATAAGCTCTTAGTTTTGTCTTTTTTTTTTGAGGCAGAGAGTCTCACTCTGTTGGAGGCTATAGTGCAGTGGTGCGATCTCGGCTCACTGCAACCTCCTCCTCCCAGGTTCAAGTGATTCCCCTGCCTCAGCCTCCCAAGTAGGTGGGATTACAGGCACCCACCATAATGCCTGGCTAATTTTTGTATTTTTTATTGGAGATGAGGTTGCACCATGTTTGCCAGGCTGGTCTCCAACTCCTGACCTCAGGTGATCCACCTGCCTCGGCCTCCCAAATGCTGGGATTACAGCATGAGCCATCGTGCCCAGCCTAGTTTTACTGTTTTTTTTTTTTCTATTCTCTATTTTATTTCTACTCTAGTCTTCTTATTTCCTTTATCTGCTTATTTTGGGTTTAGTTTGTTACTCTTTTTCTAATTCCTTTAGGTGTGAAAAGTAGGATGTTTATTTGAGATCTTTTTATTTCTACTTTGGCATTTATTTCTATAAACTTCCCTTAGCACTGCTTTTGCTTTCCCATAAGTTTTGGTATGTTGTGTTTTGTTTCTGTCTCAAGACAATGTAAAAATTTTCTCTTTTAATTCCCTCTTTGATCAATGGTTGTTCAAGGGTGTGTTGTTATATTTGTGAATTTTTCCATTTTCTCGCTGTTTTTCATTTCTAGTTTTATACCATTATGGTCAGAAAAGATACTTGGTATGATTTTGATCTTCTTAAATTTGTTAAGTCTGATTTTGTGACCTAACATGGGAGTTATCCTGGAGAAACTTCCATCTGTGCTTGAGAAGAATGTGTAGTCTTCTGCTGTTGGGTGGCAAATTCTATGTATGTCTTTTGGGTCCATTTGATCCATAGTGTTATTCAAGGTCACTGTTTACTGATTTTTCTGTCTGGATGATTTATCTATTATTAAAAGTAGAGTATTGAGCTTTGTTTCTATTATTACATTGCTGTCAGTTTTTTTGAGGGGGTTGTCAATATTTGCTTTATATACTTAGGAGCTTCGATATTGGATGTGTATATATTTATAATTTTTAGACCTTCCTATTGAATTTACCCATTTTCATTATATAATAACCTTCTTTGTCTTTAGAGACAACTTTTAACTTAAAGTCTATTTTGTCTGACATAAACTCAGCCACCTCTGTTTACTTGGTTGCCGTTTGCATGGAATATCTTTTTCCATCCCTTTTTTTTTTTTTTTTTTGAGATGGAGTTTCGCTCTTGTTACCCAGGCTGGAGTGCAGTGGCGCGATCTCGGCTCACCGCAACCTCCGCCTCCTGAGTTCAGGCAATTCTCCTGCCTCAGCCTCCTGAGTAGCTGGGATTACAGGCGCGCGCCACCATGCCCAGCTAAATTTTTTGTATTTTTAGTAGAGACAGGGTTTCACCATGTTGACCAAGATGGTCTTGATCTCTTGACCTCGTGATCCATCCACCTCGGCCTCCCAAAGTGCTGGGATTACAGGCTTGAGCCACCGCGCCCGGCCCTCCATCCCTTTATTCTAAGCTTTTATGTGTCTTGTGAATCTAAACTGAGTTGATTGTAGACAGCATACAGTTGGATCTCTAATCCAGTCAAATCCTCTTTATGTAGGCTTATCTCATTATATTGCACTTTATTGCACTTCACAGATTTGCATTTTTACAAGTTGAAGGTTTGTGGTAACCCTGCATCGAGCAAGATGCTATTTTTCCAACAGCATGTGCTCACTTCATGATTCTATGTCACGTTTTGGTATTTCTTGCAATATTTCAAACTTTTTCATTATTATTATATCTGTTATGATCTGTGATCAGTGATCTTTGATATTACTACAAATGTGCTGTTACCAATAGAGAGTTGTAAAGCTGAAATAAATTTTTCTAGACCATGAATAATAAACGTAATTTTTATAACTGTGAGACAGAGGAAAGATGAAACTGTTTCTCTTCTCTTTATTGAAAATAAAATTACAAAATTGTTGGGTGTGGTGGTACATGTCTGTAGTGCCAGCTGTTCCAGAGGTTGAGCCAGGAGAATCACTTATGCCCATGAGTTTGAGACTGACATGGGCAACATAATGAGATCATGAATCCAAAAAATATTATAAAATTGTCATATGAAGAAGTGATTAATGTAGGAAAACTTCCTATAAAGGGGTATCAGGCAGTTAATTTAATAATAATTCTAATAATATTTTTTTCTAAGTATTGTGATGTTTGTGGTGTTTATAACTTAAATTGTTATAATTTTGCTTTCTTATTATTATATACTAACTTTGTACCCAATTAACAGTGTTTCCTAAATTATACAAGCTTCAGGCCTCATAAAATTTGAATTTGTTCCTGCTCAGTAGTATACCTGGACCTCTCTTGGATTATTTACCTAAATAAAGGGTGGGTTGTATTGGTCGCCCTCTTGTGATATTTGTATTTCCAGGAAAATTATTGAGAATTAAGAATTTGTGGGCTGGAAATGGTGGCTTATACCTGTAGTCCCAGCACTTTGGGAGGCCAAGGAGGTGGATCAGTTGAGCCCAGGAGTTTGAGACCAGCTTGGGCAATATGGTGAAACGCTGTCTCTATGAAAAAATAACAAAAATTAGCTGGGCATAGTGGCACTCACCTGTTCCAGCTACTCAGGAGGCTGAGGCGAGAGGATCACTTGAGCCTGGGAGATTGAAGCTAGAGTGAGCTGTGTTCTCGCCATTACACTCCAGCCCGGGTGACAGAGCGAGACCCTGTCTCTGAGAGAAAACAAACAGAAAAAGAATTTGTGACTTGGACTAGTTTTATTTCCTGTGGAACTCCTAACTAACCTGCTCAGAAATTATGCTTTTGATTTTGGCCTCATTTGCATCTAACATAATGTTCTGGTCAGCTGATACAACACACTTAATGTTGCTGGCAAATCCTGCACTTAATTCATTATAGGGCTTTTAAGCTACATAGTAAAAGCACAAAATTTCTAATCAAGTATTAATAGCTATCCATCCTGCCTGTATGTATTCTCCTTGTGATTTAAAATCATTGATAAGCCACAGTTTAACTTCTTAAAATTTTACTTTGTAGAAAATTTTAAAATTTTGAATATATAAAGAAGTATGCAAATGTCCTCAAAATCTTACTCTGAGTTGGGAGATCTTGTATTTCCCGGGCTCTAGACTTGTGAGTAGTTTGCTGTATGACTTTGGGCAAGTTAATTCCTCATTAAGGATCAGTGTTCTCATCTAGAAAGAGAGATAATATATTGTAGGGTTGTTGTGATGTATTTGGAATTTCTAAGTAGTTAGTAGTTATAAAGTGCTTTCTAAATAATAAATTGCCATATAAGTTAATTTTTTTTTTGTAATTAAGAAAGCTTATAGAAACAAATCCTCTTTTTTTCCCCACTATTACAGCTACAAAGATGGCAACAAAACTACCAACTTGAAAACTTGGAATGAAAATGATTTTAGGCCTCAGTGTAAACAAACAAACTTAGTGGCAAATGACGGAAAAAATTCCTGTCCAATGAGTTTGGGAGCTCAGCAACAAAAACAGTTAAGAATGCCTGAACCTTCTAACTTATCTCGCAACAAAGAAACTGAGCTACCTAGACCAACACATTCATCAAAAATATCTGGTTCCACAATGAGAGGGCTAGACAAAAACAGTGCATTACAGACATTTAAGCCCAATTTTCAACAAAATCAATATAAGAAACAAATGTTGGATGATTTTCCAGGAGAAAACACTCTGAAGATAAATGTTTAAATACCAATTAGGCCGGGCGCGATGGCTCAAGCCTGTAATCCCAGCACTTTGGGAGGCCGAGGCGGGTGGATCATGAGGTCAAGAGATCGAGACCATCTTGGTCAACATGGTGAGAACCCGTCTCTACTAAAAATACAAAAAAAAAAATATTAGCTGGGCATGGTGGTGCGTGCCTGTAATCCCAGCTACTCAGGAGGCTGAGGCAGGAGAATTGCCTGAACCCAGGAGGCGGAGGTTGCGGTGAGCCGAGATTTGCACCATTGCACTCCAGCCTGGGTCACAAGAGTGAAACTCTGTCTCAAAAATAAATAAATAAATAAATAAATAAACATCAATTAATGACCTATTCACATTTTTTAAAATGTGAGGTAAATATTTAGAAATTTACAGGGATAAGAGCATCTGAAATCAGTTCCATGACATACATTACTTGATTAGCATAAATATTTAGTTCCATTGAAATGGGTGAATGTTAGTTTCCAGAATATTTTTTTAGAGGATATGAGCGGCTGCTCCTCTTCCTTTCAGACTTTAGAGTTTTCTACTGGATTTTTGACTTTCACTTTATACTCATTTTAAAGATAATGATAGTTTATCTACTGTTGATAAAGTTACCCAGGCTCTTCATATGTCATTCTAAGTATTTTTCAACAGAGGTGAGCAAACATTTTCTTTAAAGGGCCAGTTAGTAAGTATTTTTTGGCTTTATGGTTTATACTGTCTCTGTTGCAGCTACTCAATTCTACTCAACTCTGCCACTGTAGCTTGTAAGCATCCATAAACAATATGTAAATGAATGTGCGTGGCTGTCCTCCAGCAAACATTTACACTAACAGACGGCAGGTTAGATTTGCACTGCAGTCCATAGTTCTTTTTATGATCAACGTATTATGACCTTTGCTTTATGATCTTGTCCTATTCTACCTTTGTAGCCTCATATTTCATATTTTACTAATTGTCCAATGCTCCAGCCACTTTGGACTTACCACGATTCTCTAAACATAGCATACATTCTGTGCTTTGGTTTATATTATTCCCTAAAGCTGTATGTCAACTGTACTTCCTCTCTACGCTCAGTGCTCTAAATATTCTTTGTAAATTTTATTTATATATTATTTGTGCTGGTTATTCCTCATCTCTGCTCCCTGACCTCTTGGCCCACTTGATTCTTCACCTGCCCTTCTCCATTCTGGAAGGCTGAATTGTCCTACAAAGTACATCATCCTGAGATTCTTTACTTCTGGCTTTTGCTAGAGGTCATCCAGTAGGAGTCACTGGTATGACATCAAAGGGTGGGAGGAAAGATTGAGTTTTCTCACTTTCTCCAGTCTTAAATATTCTATCACCAGCAGTGGCTGTGTCAGTGCATAATGCAGCCTTTTCATGAGTATAGCTTTCCTGGGCTTGATACTTTTATTTTCTCCTCTTGTCCTTTCAGCCTAAGATTGCTAAGAGCTTCTTACTGTTGTTAGTTTTTGTTCTGCCTGTATGTCTGAAAAAGCGTAAGCCATTGGGGTAAAATCTATTTTTGCGTGTTTTGTTTTCTGTTGGAAAAAAGACAAATAAAGCAGGTTTCACAGTGGTTCTCAACTTTGTTTCCTTGCACTCAAGAATTGTATGACATAATCACCATAGTAACAGGGGTTTACTGTGGCCATAATCTTCAACAGGAGGCATGTTAGGATCTTGGTTAAGAGGGGGAAAAGGGAGGAAACTACTTGTATTTTGAAGAAAAGTTTCATTATGTATTCTTCACAACCCTCACCCTCACAAAGGAGAGTGTCCCCCTACCTTTGAAAATTGGTATCTTAACACACTTTATTCTTAGTTGATCTTAAAAAATGCTAAGAACTTTGCATTCTCAGGGCCTTTGTACTTGCTGTTCCCTCTGTCCTCATTCAACAACCCACTTAAAATAATAACCCCCATCTCTCTCTCTCTCTCTCCCTTTACCTTGTGTTTTTTTCTTAAAAAAGTACATTTCCTGACATTCTGTTATATGTTATTTATTTTATAAATTCTCCACTAGACTATAAAATCTTTGAGAGTGGATACCTTGTTTGTTTTGTCCATGAATGCTTCCTTAATAGCTATGTTTGTCAGGTAGGAGGTGCCCAATAAACACTTCTGAAACAAGTAAATGAATGAATGAATGTGTCTGGCTCCTTCCCTAGAGTGTGAGTGCATTAGAGAAAGGAATGGCTTTACACAGGATCTGGCATATGATGCTTTAAAATATTTGGTGAATGAATGAGTGAACAAGTGCCCATATAAATAATTCTCCTCTTGATTAGTTGTCTCCAAGTGCACCCTGGTTTCTCCTCCTCCAATAGAGTAATGATGGCATTAATTTAGGGAGGTAACTAAAATTTTCAGTAGTTCTTTTTACACATTTGTCCATTATAAGGACTTAGAATTTTTACATAGAAGATAAATGAGTATGATGAAAAAAAGAAATATTTTTCTAATGCTGTTTTTTATTTTTTCAAAAGGAAACCTCATTGTATCAGGTTCAGTTTAAGGAAAAAGACAATTCTTTAAGAATTATTTCTGCAGTTATTGAAAGCATGAAGTATTGGCATGAACATGTTCAGAAAACTGTACTTCTTTTTGAAGTATTAGGTAAGTAAAATACTTCAAAAATACTTCAGTAATACTATTTGAACAACAAGTTTTAATGTCTGATTAGTCCTTTTTCTTTCAAATAAAACAGTCTGATTTTTGCTACTCCCTAAAGTATATTCAAAGAACTGAAGTTTAATAATAGTCCCTGTGGTAGGTATAATTATAATTACCAAAATTTGTGAATGCTACCTTTTATGGCAGAAGGGACTTTGCAGATGTAATTAAGTTAGAGATCTTGAAATGGGAAGATTATCTTGTATTACTTGGGTGGGTTCAGTGTAATCACAAGGGTCCTTTATACAAGAAAGCATCAAGGTCAGTCAGAGAGATTGAATGATGCTACCTTGCTGGCTTTGAAGATGGTGGAAGGGGCCATGAGCCAAAGAATGCAGGCATCTTCTAGAAGCTGGAAAAATTAAGGGAACAGATGCTACTCTAGAGCATCCAAAAGGAACACAGCTTTGATGACTCATTATAGACTTCCGACCTCCATAACCATTAAAATAATGCTTTTGTGTTGTTTTAAGCCAGCCACTAAGTTTGTGGTAATTTGTTACAGCAGCAGCAGGAAAGATACAGCCTCCTTCTCCTTATATTTATATATAAATATAAATATAAATATAAATATAAATATAAATGTGGATATATAAGGAGTAGTGGTCAGTTAGCTGCAGTTGCCCTCTAAAGGCAGCTGATGACCATCCCTAGCCCACTCAAATCACTGTACTAAGTCACTGAGTCAAGGTCTGCCCGACAGACCTCAGCAAGCAGTGATCAGTGTCTCAGATTTCCATCAGTGCATTCATTTCACATGTGTAACTTTCACCTAAAAATGATTCCAGTTTCTCTCGTTACCATTAAGGAAAAAGCTTTATTATGTGAAGTGACATTGGATTCAATAGAGACTCAGACTCTGAGTAAACACACTGTATTAGTTTTCAGTTGCTGCTTAACAAATTAATGGAAACATAGCAGCTAACAACCACACCCGCTTCTTAACTCAAGTTTTGTAGATCAGAAGTCCATGTGGGCCGACTGTGTTCTATACTCAGGATATCACAGTGCCAAAATCAAGGTGTTGGCCAGGCTGGTTTTGTTCAGTTTTCACTTTTGGCTTTTTGGAGTTTTCCATGCCTCTGGCCTCTGGAACTCCCATATACTTCAGGGATTCTTCATCAAGTCCTACTCATTTTGCCTGAAGCATATTTCTGAGCTGGTTGGTGTGGCTGTTACTACTCTACATTGAAGCTTGTCTTAGCTCTTATTTTGTTCAGTTCTTACGGGTAGCTATATAACTGCGATAGCAGATGGTATTCTGTTTCATGTCTGTTTTCTGTCAGAACTAATATACTGTCGGAGGTAGAACGTCTATTTCATATATTTTAAACCCTGTTGGACTTCCCACTAAATTGGTTTTTCCTATGTGAAGAATGCCTTTGGCTTTCAACTCATTTTCAGAATAGAAATATTAGAAATAACCTGAGCCTATTAAAAGGATGTGCTAATTCCATTCATTTCCCCAAGTTCTCTTTGGTGAATTGTTCAGGTTCCTCCAGAATAATCCTTTTAAAAATATCACAATACCCAATATAGACAGCAGTAGACATTCTTACCAGGAAATGAAGGGGTTCCATGCTTTTATACCTGTTGATTAGCTTTCATAGTGCTTTAATAATCCTGAGTTCTAGGCTAGACTCTAAACTTACCTAAGGTAGATACTTCCTTTTTGTTAGACTTTAATGTCTAGCACACTGCACAGTATATAGGAAGTCCTTTTCATTTGCAAGTCCCCCCACCTCCCCCCCAAAAAAAACAACTTTAGTGGTTTTTAAACAATAATAGAGAATTATTCATGAAACTGAAAAGCAGCTGGGTTTTTGACTTTAGGCAAAGCTTGATCTAGCTGCTCAAGAGATGGCGCAGTGATTTATCTCCATCTTTCTGGCCAGTCATAGTGTTGGCTTCATCTTAAGGCTCCACACTATAGTCTCTCCAGAAGCTTCTGACGCTCCCCTTATGGTAGCAAGTTGATTATTAAATTTCTGTAGACTATGCATTCTTATGCCACACTATCAGATTCTTAGGTTTTTCTTCTGGTTGCTATTTCCTAGAGACTTACAAATGAGTCTTTGCATATAATCATTTCTGAATGTAACACGCCCAGTACAGAAACCCTGAACTGTGTAGTTGAGTAATAAAATATGCTGATTGGATTAAGTCACTCACAGTTCACTCCTGGATCTGAGGATGGGGACAAATCCTATCCAAATCATGTGGCTAAAAATGGAATTTTTCTAAAGGATAACTGGGTCTTTTTTAGAAGAAATGGAGGACAGCCTCAAAATAACTCAGTAGATGGTTATTAAATAGATGAATAATGCTGTCATTTGATAATAGTTTCTTGAGATAAACATGAATTACAATTTGCATTTTATAGGTGAAGAAACAGATTTGAAAGTGGTTAAACAATTTACTCAAGGAGGAGGGAATAGGGAGATGTAGGTCAAAGGGTACAAACTTGCAGTTATGTAGGATGAATAAGCCTAGAGACTTAATGCGCAGAGGAGTCTATAGTTAATATTACTGTACTGTATATTAAAAGTTTGCTAAGAGAGTATTTTCAGGTGCTCTTACCACACACAAAAAGCATAACTATGGACAGTGGTGGGTATGTTAATTTGCTTGCTGTAGGACTGATTTTATATATATACATATATGAATATATATGAAAATATGTTGTATACCTTAAATGTGTATAATGAAAATAAATTAAAAACTCAGTTTGCTCAAAGTCACAAAATATTAGTAAGTTGAAGGACCTGGGACTTCAACACCTGACTCCTGATTCTAATTCAATGTTTCTTTTTTCATTACATTATGATGCTTATTTGTTATACCTGTGCATTTTATTATTATAATCTTGTAGACTGTTCTGGGGATTTAACCACTCTATACTGCACATTTTAAGGAAAAAGTTTCAGATGGCTGTTTATTATCAATTGTATGAGCTTGGCATATGATCTGTTCCTAAGTTGGAGAGAGTCAGAAATTTTGTTTTCCTTCATATAAAACTGTCTGAGAAATATCTTCCCTTCTTAAAATGTCTTCTTTATTATTACTGTATACAAACTATAAATAATATGAATAGTTATTTAAACATCAACTTTGTTAAATTTTATTTGCAATTTACCAACATTTATTTTTCCCCCATTTCAATATTGCTTAGCTGTTCTTGATTCGGCTGTTACACCTGGCCTATATTATTCAAAGACTTTTCTTCTGAGGGATGGGAAAAATACTCTGCCTTGTGTATTTTATGAAATTGTGAGTATTTTTAAAGTAGTCTTTGCAAAGCCTATGTCAACAAAATATAAAAGTGCAGGCTACAATTCAGTTGAAATAAAAATTCTGTTAACAATTTAGTACTTTCAACAGTTTGGTGTTAGTTCTGATATGAAAGTTGTTTATTTGTATAATATGAAGAGCCTTCTATGTGCCAGGTACTGTGCTGGATATGAGGGATATAAAGTGGGGTATAAATTGTAAATGGCTCCCAAAAAGTTTGTAATCCCAGGTAGAATGGTACAGAAATGTTACACGGTGGTATGGTGAATGGCGTGGTGGAGCTAGGTATGTGCAGGGTGCTGAAGAAGTAGGTAGAAAAGGTGTGACAGATCAGGGAAAGATTTTTAAAGAAGGTGGTAACTTATCCTAGATCTTTAAGGACTAGTAAGAATCAACTCAGCCAAATGTGTTGGGGAGGGAAAGAAGGATGTAGTCTAACGTGAGGAAGCAGCATATGCAAAGACATGAAGCCAAGAGAGAGTTTCACTTGCTTAGGGAACTGAAAGTAGTTGGGTTGCTGACAGAAGTCTGGAAATTGCAAAGGAGGCTGCACACCTATATACATTGAGGCTGTATAGAACTACATACTTTGTAAAAGTTTAACCTTAGTTCTGAAATTGTCCTCAATTCTGAAATCAGACTTGGATTCTAGCATTTACTCCAGCATTTACTAGTTTTATGACCTTAAGTAACCTGCTTAAATTATTTGAATTTCAGATTTGAAAAAAAATTTATAAAATGGGGAAACAAATTCCTATTTTAAAAGGTTGTTATGGAGATTAAATGATGAAACATGAATATACAGTGCATGACACATAGCAGGTGATCAAGGAATAATTGTCATGTCAATTCCTATAATATTTTGAATGAGTATTATTTTTATCTAGTCTGATTTAAAAAAACTTTGCTATTGAAGTATAACATTTACAGAAAAGAATAAAAATCATAACTTTACAGTTCTAGGAAGTATCACAAAGTGAATGCTACCCGGGTTAAGAAATAGAATATTGCCATCACCCCCAAACCCCTTTGTGCCTCTTCCTATTTACTACCTCTTGTCTTCTACCTACAAGTCACCACTAGCCTGGCTTTTAATGTCATCAATTCTGTTTTTGAACTTTATAGAAATAATATCATACAGTACATCTTTTAAAATATTTGATTTTTTTTACTTGACAAAGTTTGTAAAATTCATCCATGTTGTGTGTAGCTGCAGTTCACTCATTTATATTGCTAAGTATAATATTGTGTTGCATGAATATACCACAGCTTTCTATATCACTGTTGGTGGGGATTTGGGTTTCTGGATTTTTGCTGTTACATGTAATGTTCTATGGACATTCTTATCTATGTCTTTTATGCATTTGCATGCATTTTTGTTTGATATATACCGAGACGTAAAATTGCTGGGTCATAGATCATGTGTATATTCAAATATGGTAGTTATTGCCAAATAATTTTTCAGAGGATTTTGTCAATTTAAATACTCACAGGCAATGTAAGAGAGTTGTGGTTTCTCTGTATTCTTACCAACACTTAGTATTGTCAGTCTTTTTTATTATAATCATTCTGGTGAGTAAGTTGAGTGTTATTTCTTTATAATTCTCTGGGGAGTAATGAGAATTAATACCTTTTCATGTGCTATTTAGATATCTTCTTTTGTAAAGTCTGTTTGGGCATCTTGCTGTTTTTTCTATTGAGTTATTTGTCTTTTTCTTACTGATTCTAGAAATTTTTTTTAACTATTCTGGGAATAAGTTTTCTGTCCATAATGTGCATTGCAAATATTTTCTCATACACGTGGTTCACTTTTTCACATTTAATGATGGCTTTTGACAAACAGAAGTTTTTCATTTTAATCTTTTCCCTTATAATTAGTGCTTTTTGTGACTATTTAATGAAAGCAATTCAAAAGGCTTTAATTTTGTTCATAATTGAGAGGATTTGGAGATTGCTAATCTTTTTCTGATTCACTTGTCTCTAAAGACATAGCACTATTGAGTACCAATGGTAAGCCTTGGGTCAAAGTTGGCGTGGTTACTAGAATCTCTTTTTTTGGGGGCCTCAGACTTGTTTCCCATGTATACAAGTCTGAAAGCTCTGCTCAGTTTCTTAGAATCTCAACTGGCTTTCTGTAATCTGCAGATATCTCAGGGAGAAAGCACCCCCCAAATCAGGTTTCATCTGAGACTCCCATACTCTTCTAGATGGGGAGTGGGTCTCTGTAATTCCTCACTGTTTTGATATCTCTCTGATGTTTATGAGGACTTTTTTTTGAAATGGAGTCTTGTTCTGTTGCCAGGCTGGAGTGCAGTGGCACAATCTTGCCTCACTGCAGCCTTTGCCTCCTGGGTTCAAGTGATTCTCTTGCCTCAGCCTCCAGAGTAGCTGGGATTACAGGTGGGCACCACTACACCTAGCTAATTTTTATATTTTTAGTAGAGATGGGGTTTCACCAGGTTGGCCAGGATGGTCTTGATCTCCTGACCTCATGATCCACCCATCTTGGCCTTCCAAAGTGCTGGAATTGTAAGTGTAAGCCACCATGCCTGGCCACAAGGAGATTTCTTTTTTGAGACATAGTCTTGTTCTGTTGCCAGGCTGGAGTGCAGTGGCACAATCTTGGCTCACTGCAACCTCCACCTCCTGGGTTCAAGAGATTCTTCCACCTCAGCCTCCCGAGTAGCAGGGACCAGAGGTGTGTGCCACCATGCCCAGCTAATTTTTGTGTTTTTAGTAGAGATGGGGTTTCACCATGTTGGCCAGGATGGTCTTGATCTCTTGACATTATGATCCACTCACCTCGGCCTCCCAAAGTCCTGGGAGTACAGGAATCCGCCACCATGCCCAGCTGGGAGATTTTTAACAAAACATTTCATCCAGTTATTCTAATTGCTGTTATCTGATGAGCTGTTTGGAATCACCTAGTCTGCTGCCTACTGAAAGTGGAACTCGGAGAATCTGACATAAGAGTTGGTAATTCATGTGTTGTTACCCTGGGAATTATTCAGTCTCTGAAGAAGCAACAACTTGCTAGCATGTAAAAGCCCTACCAAGTGAGGGTCTCTCCTCTGCTACAGGGCACCAATATGCAAATAACTGTCATAGTCTTGTCAACATTGGGGCCCTGACTCACATGAAAGAATTATAGCATTTTGAGGTGATACATGTTTAGTTGATTGTATCAATATTTTAAAAAATTGAAATTCAAAGGAAGAAATTAATTTTTTATATTTATTTTTTGAAAAACAGGATCGTGAACTTCCAAGACTGATTAGAGGCCGAGTTCATAGATGTGTTGGCAAATATGACCAGAAAAAGAACATTTTCAAATGTGTTTCAGTCGGACTGGCATCTGTTTCTGAACAAAAAACTTTACAGGCATTTGTCAAAATTGCAGATGTTGAGATGCAGTATTATGTTAATGTAACAAATGAATCTTAAGTAGGGATAAAGGAAGTTTAAATAGCATAAATTATAGCAGTTTTCTGTTATTGCTTAATTTACCATCTCCGTAGTTTTATAGCTACTGTTTTCCTGTATTTCATTTGTTGCATTAAAGTATTTGAATCCTTTTAAATGTGGAGTTTTTGAAGCATAATTTTAATGTTTTTATTAAAATGATATATTTGCTAAAATTTCACAACCATCCTAGATAACAATGCTCACTATAACAGGAATAGATCATGTTTATTTAATATGGGATAATAACACATCTGAGTAAGCTTAAAAGCCAGCATCAGTCTTAAGAGGGAAATAGTAGAGGTATTTGCACTATCAGGAAAAAGACAAGTCTGCATATTGTCAGTACTGTTACTAAGCATTGTTCTAGAACTGCTAGTCTGTGTGGTTCATTTAATTCAAATATTTAATGAAAATCTGCTTTGTGCCAGGCATTGTTGCAAATGCTAGAGACAAAGCAGTTCACAAAGTAACAAAAATTAGGGGTACCAGAAAGGTAGGTGTGCTTTGAACCAGGAGCCCAAATATTTCTCCTATATGTTTCTCCCATAGCCATGATTCATGAGTCTGGATATCAGGGAATGGTAGCAGTGCTGACATTCCTCATTATTAGATCAACTAATGTACCCACAGAACTTTTGCTTCCTGCCCCCACAATTTTGGGCTCTGTTAATTCACAGATCTTACTTTCTGTCATAGCTTTAGTTACCCAAAAAGTAGAGACAGAGAAAAAGTCTTATTTGTAAGTAGTTTATTTGAGAATTTTAGTTCACATGAAGTAAGCTATAGCGGGGGTGTTAAGTAGGGAAGGAGGAAGACCAGTTACTAGGATGGCTTAATGAGTTGGCAGCCACTAGGAGGACCTAAAGCATATATGCATAAGCTCCCAGCACCTGTACTTAAGGGGTGACCAACACAGCAACAACTCTCTTCCACTTCCTGGTTGGGTATGTATGAGTACTGGGCTGGTTTTCCATTATATTCCACCCCATGGGGTCAGAGAAACCATATGGCAGGACACAAGAAGCAGATGGACTAGACCTGAGGTAATACTGTCAGACTGAATCTATGTGAAGCTGGTCAAAGTTTATGCAGAATTGGTTACTGCAGCTGTGGCTGGAATAAGAGGATGGCTGAGAGAATCTGAAGTTGTGCACAGGAAGTGTCTGTTACGATTCTAAAGGGAGGAATGCTTTTACCAGAAGTGCTTCGTTGTTTTTATTCTACTGAAAGTTGAGACTGCCATTTGGCAATTTTGTTTCTTTATGTTTCCGAATCAATAGGCAGAAAGGGGGTTATTCTACTGGCTGTGGTACTTCAATCCCAGTTAACAATGGAAAATTGTGTTTCTCTGCATAATGAGGAAAGAGAAGACCATATCTGTTATGCAGAGGATTCTTTTGGTTGTCAGCAAAGTTTAATGAAACACTATTACGACAACCCAAGAAAAGCAATAACACTGAGGATGCAGGCTCACAAGGAAGGAAGGGTGAATCTAGCTGCAGTTAAGAAAAAGGGAACATGGACTAGGTGTGGAAGAAGGAGTTGTAAATGTCAGTTGTGGTCTTCTGATCAATTGTAGGATAAGGAAAAGCTAGGAGGAGGAGGTAACTTGACACGTGGAGAGTGGTTGGGATAATGATGGTATCTGGTTATTAAGGTTTTCCTAGAGAGGTAAGGAGCTAGAAGTAACTCAAAGGGCTGCAGATCTGGATTTGCTTTTCCATATTGGCCCAAGGAAGAATTGAATGTGATCTGAGAGTTCATATTTTCTCTTACTCCTGTCCTTTCTCTGTATCTGTATATGGTTGAGTCATGAAAGTCTGATCCTTGTTGGTTACAGTTTGTCTCTCTCCTAGGGCCTATTTGCAGGGCCTATTTGTATAGTGAGAGATTCTGCCACCTGGAAATATTTCCAAAACATATGTCCTTCCACAGTTGTCCTCTATTCAAAGACGGCTAATGGCTTGTTGTCTACAGGATAAAGCTTAAACTCTTAACACCCTTCAGATATTTTAGGACATTTATGGACTGGTCCCTGCTTACTTTTACAACTTCTCCAACCATTTTTATTCACTTCTCAAGATGTAGGCCTCAGCCTCACAGGTGTACTCTCCATTCCCTAAGCATGCAATGATTAAGCACCCATCCCTGAGCTCTCCATTCTCATGATTCCCCAAAGTGTAGTAAGATGTGATCAGCAACTGTAATCAGTCACTGTTGCAAGACTCTAAGATAATTTGTTCTAGAGAGGCCCTGTGTAATTGCTTTGTTTGTAATGAGTTCTTCCAGGATCTGGACTCTTCTGGGATGCACAGTCTCCTAGGGCCAGGGATAGGTAGGAAGGGAGAAGTGAGGAGGGTGGCTACAGACACAGGTGATGACTCTAAAGGCGATTACATCATATGCCACCAACAAAGGGGTGGAGAATGTTGGATCAGGGCCCTGGAGTTAACCTCAGACACAGTAAGTTGGGCAGGAGGGTAAATAAGCTGGTACCTTACTGTCCCTACAACCTGAGGGTCTTCATTTCCCCAGTTGTATGATGTTCTATAGGATAGTTTTTCAGATATGATAACTTTCCTTTTCTGCCTTTCACCTCTCTGCCTTTCAAGACTTTCCTACATTCCAGAAATTCTTTGATTTAATGTTCACAACTTAGTATCTTTTCATTAATGATAGTGTCCATTAATACTATGCAATGTACTCTCTTACAGGATTGTATCATTTCAACATAATGACATATCTGTGAGATAGGCATTTAGTACAGATTTCAATCCCTCGGCTATGTATTTGAATTACTTAGGGAGCTTACTTAAGGCCCCCTTCCTGAGATTCTGATTACATATATCTGGGGATGGTGCTGTAATCTGTTTTTTAAAAATGTATTATATGTCCTTACTACTCACTGTGGTCCACAGAACAGCAGAATTGGCATCACCAAATGTACAATTTTAACTTTCAAAATGTTAATTAGGCCTTACACCAGGCCCATTGAATCAAATCAGCATTTAACAAGACCACCAGGTGGTTTGTATGTAAATTAAAATTTTAGAAGCAGCGACCTTTGTGATTCTTCTATGCAGTCCAGACTGAGAAACAGATTTACCAGGTGAAGAAGATGAGAGGCATTATTGAGGGAGCTGCTGAAATTCATATTCCCGATCAGCAGCAGTATTCACAAGTGATGTCTCTCTGGTTTGAAATTTCTAATAAGATCCTTGACAGCAGAGTTTGGTCCCACTCATTTCCCAAGGAGGCAGACTTCTGAGAAAACAAGCATAGGAAACTTCACTTGATGCCATTTTCCTGCTACAGTACTAGCACATTATGTCCAAATGTGAAAAACTATTAATGTGGCTAGATTAAGCATTGGCAGGGTGAAAATCCCAGCAGTTAGACTCAGCTACATCCCGTTCAGGAAGGAACTTCTCACATACCTTAACACCCTTCAGCTTTCTTAGCTCAGAGGCATTTTAAGGTATGGATATCTGGAGAGGATGTACAGCGAGGTCACAAGGGTAGGTATATTCATTCCCTTTATCTCCAAATTATACAAACATTCAGATACATTTCTTCATGTCAACATAACTGAACCACATAGACATTGACACTGAAACCAAAATGACACTGTAAACATGCATAATGGGTTTTTTTTTTTTTTTTTTGAGACAGAGTCTGCCGCCCAGGCTGGAGTGCAGTGGTGCAATCTTGGCTCACTGCAACCTCTGCTTCCTGGATTCAAGTGATTCTCCTGCCTCAGCCTCCTGAGTAGCTGGGATTATAGAAATTCACCACCATGCCTGGCTATTTTTTTTTTTTTTGTAGTTTTAGTAGAGGCAGGGTTTCACTATGTTGGTCAGCCTGGTCTTGAACTCCTGACTTCAGGATCCACCCACCTTGGCCTCTCAAAGTGCTGGGAGTACAGGCATAAGCCACTGTGCCCGGCCTGGGCTGTCTTTTTAAAATAAAGAGTAGTGTAGTTGGATGGTCTAACATTTTCCATAGGTCTGAAGTTTATCTCAGAATTCTGTAATAAAGCGTCAAAATTAGCACCGAATGGTTAAGGCTAGTGAATTCTTATTCTGGAAGGATTTAATAGGAGTTTAACTACAATGGGAGTTGGCCGCTTTAAAGTTGGAGGAATGTATGTCTCAGCCTGAAGGACAGCCAACAAATATTAGTGAAACATTGGCCATATCCAGGCACCATCCCAGGTGCTGACCTTGCTGCGGTCACAAAGGAGGGTAAATAAGCTGGTACCTTAGTGTCCCTACAACCTGAGGGTCTTCATTTCCCCAGTTGTATGATGTTCTTAGGATAGTTTTGAGTATTGGGCTGGTTTTACAGCCTACCTGTATGGAGTTTACAGTTTGGTAGGAAACTGAGCTATAAACAAGCAATCAAGGGCATTGAATGCTGCTGGGTGAGTACTGGATGTTGTGGAAACACAGAAGCAGGTCTCACCTGGGGAGACCAAGGAAGATTTAGCTGAGCCAGTGACATGTAATATACATGAAGCAGGAGTGTGCCAAGTAAGAGGGAAGAAGATGTTACACAGAACAGCAAGTGTGAACATCTGGAGGCAAGAAATTGTGCCTTACAAGGTCAGCATTTCTGGAGAATGTTGAAGAATGCTGATGCAGCTTCATTGTGGGACCAGATGAGGCGGTGGAGGTAGGCATGGGTCAGATAATGAAATATTTGTGTCCTTGAAAGAAATTTTGCCTATATCTTAAAAATAATGAGAATCCATAAGGACTCTGAGCAGGAGAATGATGGTTCAATTTTTATCTTAGAATTCCACAGTGTGAATGGATTGAAGGCTAGTGAGCACAGGAGCAGGGAGATGAGACCATTGCAGTAGTCCAGATGGGGGATCAGGATGTCAGCCTGTTTTGGATTGTGGCAGTTGGGAAAAGCAGTGGGTGGATTAGAAAGAGAATGAAATACAGACTCTACATGACTTGCTAGGATAAGATGTTGGGCTTGAGAGAAATAAATGAATGAAAGAAAACTCCCAGGTTTCTGACTTGAGCCTGGATTTCTTTAACTGAGATATGAGAGACTGGAGGAGTGAGTGGATTGGGAGAGTGGCAGGGTGAGATCATGAGTTGC